TTAACATGGTCTTAAAATAAAATGTTACTAAGTATTGGATAATGAGCTAAAAATACTTAACTTGTCTTCTCTTTTTTTGCAGTAAGGCACAAGGTCGTGTGACGTAAGCAGTAGAGCGGACGGTGGTTCCCCTCACGAGACTCACAAGCTCAACCTGTCCCCGCCCGCCCGCTCGCTCCGTACAACCTCCTCTCCTCCTGAAGCAGGGGTCGAATCCCGTGCCTCGAGGGTGTCCACATCCGGCTTGCTAGGGCCCATGTGACGTCAGCGATTACAGGTATCCGTCACTGGGACTTGACCCTAGTGCTCCAGGATGTTGCTAACTTAGCGAGGAATTGTCGGAGTGAAAGTAGCAATATTACTGGTGGTAGTAGTAGTAGTAGTGGCGTGGGTGTAGTAGTAGCAGTAGTAGGGGAGTAGTTGTAATAGTAATAATAGCAGGATAGTAGAAACAGTAAGGTCGGTAATAGTAGTACTGTAGTAGTAGCAACAGGATAGTAGTAATAGTATCAGCAGGGTTAGTAGTAGTAATAGTGACAGGGTTGGTTCAATATATTTCCGGCAAACGGTTATATTGTACTCTATAACCCTCAAGATTGTCACGGATAATAAGCAATGTGTAAAAGTTATGAATGAGATGCAATGTTAAATGTGTACACCGTAGCTTGATGGTGAGCGAGGTACGAATGTTGTTGGTAGTCCCCGGCTAGCTGGTAACGAATGATTATCGATGTTTTTTTTTTAATTGAGTTGCCAGTGGAAGCATAACCCCGAAGCAAATCTATTGAAGTGTTATTCTATATTTAGCCGGACAAATAAACAAAAGTATATTAATAAGTAGGTAAATATGTTCATGAATTGAAAATATTACGCCCGCCACAGCCTGATACGGTTCCAATAATCCTCATGACGACAGATGAGATGCGTACGGTAGTCTGCCTTCGTACATGACTCACAGACTATTTTAGTGGTTGCTAGGACCGAGGAATGTGTTCCTAGCGTCAATGACCAGAGCTGAAACAACAGATGTAAACACAACGTAGATGGAATGGTAGATATTCACTAAATCGATTCAACCAAGGATAGAACAGGTTAGTCATTGTAAGTCATATTCTTTTGTTTCCAACTGTTAGAACGTGATGTGAGAGACGCTGTTGTTATGACGTCAGGTGTAGATGTTGGTTATTATAAGCCTCACACACCTGGATAGTAATATGTGTAGGGCTGTAGGTTATGGAGGAGTATTATATGAAAGTAGAATAGGTCTTGTGTGTGTGACTTATTTATCTTTTTTGGTTATAGACACGTAGTACTCCGCCCCAACATGCAATCATACCCGAGCTTGGCACATACCCCAGTACCTGATCAGAAATTGTTTCTTGAGTATTGACGTCATTGAGTAAAAAAAAACTAATTGCCTGGAAGTAAAGGATGTTCAAAAGATATTAAAAAAAAAAATAAATAAATAAACTCTGGCTTTGACCACGAGGTTCAGGCAAGTCGTGTTAGCAACAGCCACTGATGTTTACCGTGGATTCAGGTCATGTGAATCTCTTTTTGAAATATAACACTTGGACATTACTTACATAAATGGTACTGACGCAATGAGTGGGGAGAGGCAGCATGTGTGTGTTAGGATACAAGCACAAGCATATACTGTATCTACTAACTTGTAATATTAACATCACATTAGAGTATATTGTGACGCCCCAACACCCGTCCACACCCTAGTATATAGTAGTCCAGTTATGTAATGCTGTGTACTATCTGAATCCATTTGAACTTGCGTGATAATTTGACTGGTTAATTATATACATCTATCTTTCTATCTCTATATTAGTCAATCCATCCATCCGTCTTTGACCTTTGTTTCTTTACACCATATATGGACCTGATCTGAAGTGATATAAGTATTGTGTATTATTATTATTACAGTGGTATAAACTTAGAATCTTATTACAGTAACTCGTGACCCTCGTGGCTGATACAAGTCAGGGCTGATGACACTCACTAGGTTGTTACTCATTCAACCCTGGGATATATCTCTGCTTGCCTCCTCTCCTCACTCGTCTTCAGTGAGGTAAATAAATGGTTGCTTCACCTAATTAATATATATATATATGATTATGAAAGGGATTGGATCTTATTGGGTACAAAGAACCTATAAATGTAAGCTAATTATTGGTATTGAACTCGATTGTGAAAGGGGTTGAATCGTATTGTGTATTCAAGAACTTATGAATGTAAGCTAATTATTGAGATTGAAGGCTATTATGAAAGGGGTTGGATCATATTGGGTATTCACAAGAACCCACAGACGACATAATCTTCCTATAGTGGTACAGTACAGGGAGACTTAAGGGACTTCCCCTCCTGGGCCCTGACGCACGTTTGAGTGTTCGTAGAATGGGAGCCAACCAAGATCTTCTCTGTCTTCCCTGAGTATTGTTAGTCTTCCATATATTTATTAGCTTTCACCATCTATGTATCTGTTTCTTTATGTCTGTTTCTAGGTTTGTTTATGTCTGTCCGCTCTCGAGTTTTGAAGGTCGTGGTCTGCTTCAGTGTGAATGACGAAGGCGACCTTGACTAGCATAACCACACTGTTATCTAACCAATCAACCAACCATGCATTCTCTCTCGCTTTTTATCTTTCTCTGTTTCTCTCTCTCTGTCTGTCTGTTTCCCGTCTCCTTCAACCCAATTTGCTTCCATCTCGCGTCCTGCCAGCAGTCATCATCACCACACAGGGAAAAACAGCCTAGCACACCCAACTCAATAGACACACTCACTCAAACCATCAACCATCCATCCTGTAGTAGTGGTTGATAATAATAACTACCTTTATCTCGTTTTCGTTATCACAGGTCATTACCGTAAGTGGGGGTAATTAAGGCTAGTATCCGTAGAATGATTACACAGACATTACCTCATGCAGTTACGTAAAGCATTTTGTGTCCGTATTATTTGGGTGCCCGTTTATGAGGCTTGTTTTATCCAGGTGTGATAATACTGAGAGTAATTATGTGAATCAGGGATGTGATAATAAGTCATATTACTGCATGGAAGGATAATTATTAGGTACGGTTTGTATAGTAGGTTCTGTTTGGTCATCCCTCACACGCACACACCTACTCTCTCTCCAGTTTAAGTCTTATTGAATTTGTTTATATGTGTGTGTGTGTGTGTGTGTGTGTGTGTGTGTGTGTGTGTGTGTGTGTGTGTGGGAATCTGCTGTAGTGTTATCAGACCTATGACTTGTTTTTTGTGCATTATGTTGTCAGGCTACACTCTGTTGTCATCAACACAGCCCGCCGAAACTTGTCACTGTAAACAATCAGACGATGACTTTCAATAAGGGGTCGCACGGAGGAAAGTGTGGTCGGAAAGTCCATGTGCGTCTAAAATAATAATAAATTTATTTATATACTTTGTTATCCGTACGGTAAATATTGGAAAATGATTATGAATATTGGAAATAGTCACTACCTTGCTGCAGTCATTTCATCACTTGTTTTATTTACTCAATAATAATAAAATGGCTATTTAACAAGATATAATGTGAATACTGGTCTTACAGGTGGTCCACAGGGACTTCTAGATCAAAAAAATTTTCTTGGTAAATATATGCCAGTTCTTACTAGATATTATTAGTGGCAGTAATGTCTCGTGATAACACCTATCTTATCATGAATAATTCACCTGTTTCTTGACTCGCTTGTTATTGATAATAGCCACTAATTCATAAACACGGGAAACTCGGGGGAAACTCAGATAATTATTATGGATTCATGTAGGCGTCAGGGCTGAAGGACGCACTCTACTCACTGACTTAAGTTTATTATTATTTTGAGGTGTTTACCAAGACTGTAGACCCATATGAAGATTAGACACCCCTGGATTATTTCACCTGAAGATTAACCACCCTAACGTTAACCTAAGTTCCCCCCCCCCCCACACACACATACACAGAGGTAATCCAGCCCACACGTGCACGAACTGATCGCTATAAGAACAGCCCAGTCCCAACCATTGTAAAAATTATCAATAACTCGTAATAAAACATTGTATTCACTCCCAGTAAATACTACTTCTTGCACTGTCACTATGTTTAAATGCACTGTAGTTTGAGCTTTTCCCCATCTAGTTATTATATATCTTATTTATATCACTTATGTTATTTGTATATTATTTTTAATTCGAAACCCATTCCCCAATTATGTAACTGTATATTTTCAGCCTTCTGGCTGCCAAGCTCTTTCAATAAACCGTTAATTATTATTATTATTATTATTATTATTATTATTATTATTATAGGTTAGGACAAGTAATGTAAAACGTAATTGCGTTGTTTCAGGATGTCGAAATAGAATACAGGAAATAAAGTGTGTGTACAGTATGTGTGGTCCAGCATCCATGAATGTGACGTAAAACTTCACTCCTAATTATAACATATGTAAATGCGCATTACCACTACCACTCACTATCATTGTATTTCGCTACTTTGTTCACTTTAATATACAGTATATCGCTACTTTACTATTATATAACGTTACTCCATTAATTTATTATATATCGCTACTTCGCTGTCATTATATATCGCCACTTCACTAAATCGTTATATATCACTACGTCACTAAATCGTTATATCTTCCTACTTCACTAAGTCAAGATACATCGCTACTTCACTAACTCACGTGTAAGCGACCTGCTGACGTAACTGAGGTAATGTTGACAAGGTTAAGATGGCCTGACGCGCCTCAGCAAATGTTAAGTGAGTGGTGGCACTTATCCCCCCCCCCCTGCCGTCACCACCTCACATCAACATTATTCTAACGGCGTATAACTAGGCGACTGACTACACTCTCGTCTATTTTATTTTATATTACACATGGTAATTAATATATAAAGTCATATAAGTGGCGTTCAGAGAGATAATGGTAGGAGGAATGCGCGTTAAGTTCGCCGTGACTATTCTTCTGACATTAGGGTATTCCCCTCCCAGCCGCGTGGACTTCCCCCGACGATATCCAGCCAAACCAGCAAGACGTCGTCATCTCCAGAGTGTGGCTAGGTTGTGATCTGAGCAGCCAGGGAGTTGTGAGTGCACGCACCTGACATAGGTTGTGTTTCTGTGTCATGGTGAGAGGTGACAGGTGAGTCAGTGATCCTCTTGGGGTTAAAACATAGGTCAGGTCATACTAGGCTAGACTACTTCCGGGTGCATGTTGGGCCACTGGACACTTGTATTGCCCGGGAATGTGTATCAAGCAACATAAGAAACTAAATATGCTTTCGTATACTAAGAAACATTGTCATCCGTGTTTATCCGTTAATGTGACAAATTAATCGGTGTTTTCTGTGTATCTAAAGTGACACTGACCTACTTCTGGCCGCCGCTCCAAGAATCGCCGACTTAGAACGTGGATTTTAATGTTCCGGTAGTTTAAATCTTATGCATTGGTGGATTATCTCATCGTATTGATTTAATTGAATGATGATTTCCAGTCGTTAATATTTTATCTCTGGTTATTGATGAATTAAAAGACTGTGCGTGATGTTGGTCGGTGGAACGAGAAACTGGACCACACAGGCTTGCCAACTTTTTCTAATACTTTTCTCATTTAACCGCAAAGAAACTGAATTATCTTCTCTTTATATAATATTTTCTGGATTACTCTATTTTTCTACTATCTTTGAGTTTATTTTTCGTCATCAGTTTGTGGTAAACGGACTTATATACACGAGAGCATTACCAATCGAGTGTTTGTAAAGTGTCACACGCACAGTTTTCACTTTATTTTGGTAGATCTAGCGGGACTTTCAAACCTGTTGTAGTCTTCCACCAACAAAAATTGACTCTATTCCTGTTCATAGTTAAAATACAGTAGTGAAATTTCTCCGAATGTATTATACTTAAATTTTATCAACCGCCTTTACTGCACTGTGAAATTGTGAATGTTCTTATGCGAATTGTATTATACATTGGAGTGAATTGATATGCAAGGAACTAATATTTCAAGAAACTGCGTCATTGAATCAAGTTAAGGCAGAGACGTAATGATGTTTCGCTTGGTAGCTATTGTAAGAGACGTGTTCTGCTGGGTAGTGGCACACAGTTGATTGACTTTGTTCTGTGTTTGTGACGCCTTTACTCTCTGAAGCGTCATTCGCGTTTGACTTGAAATAATAGGTGTCAGTGTGGGTCACCTGAAGATTAGACACCCCAGCTTATTTCACCTGAAGGATAGGCACTTTAACTTATTTCACCTGAAGATTAACCATACTAATGAAATAAGTTAGGGTGTCTAATCTTCAGGTGATACATCAGTGTTTGCGTAATACTGAAGTCGTCACAACACGGGATGGTGGCAGGTACGAGGAGACACGCTGCTCATTTGTTGCATATTAACACACGCTGGTTCAGGTCTTAAGTAAAAATATATTACCTTTGAGGTCTCTGAAAATCGATACTTATATATAGCGTTAATCCTTATTGTCTACATTTATATTATTTGTGTGTGTGTGTGTGTGAGGGGTTTCATAAGTAAGGTTTGACGTGGAAGTTGAATATCCTTCACGTGTTGCATCAGATGTGGACTTTCCCAGGCATATGTGGGAGTGGATGAAGTGGGGAGGTGGGCGGGGGGGTCAGTTGCCTCCCCCCTCCTCTGGTCCACTCGTGACGCTCCTCCACCTCCAAGGTTAGGATAGTTTGTGCTTGGAGATGAGAGAAAGAGATGAATGAACGAGGGTGATGATAGGAAAGTACTATTGTTTTTGCAGTGTGTATGGGAGGAAAGTACAATTGTTTCTGACACCAATTATACTATTATTTATACGAATGATATAAAAATGGTAATGATTCTTCCCCCATAACACCACGAACAAATCAGCGTTTACCAGTATTGTCTGGATAAATTCCCCACACCATAACCACTGCACAAGACTGATCCTGGTATAATATAAGACTTTCTCCATAACAATGCTGGTGGTAATATGACTTCTTCCTTCATGAAACACAGGAGGGGTTGTCAGTCCTACCACAGAGTATCGTAGAGCAAGTGTGTGGGGGTCAATGTTCTGCTGGAGTTTGCCATCTTGTTATGGGTCGCTTATTCCTCTAATACAACCACTACGATTTTTTTTCATTAAAAGTTAAAGCTTCGGTAAACATAAATAAATAATATATGATAATGTTATCTTGTAAAAAAAATTCCTTGGTGTTTAGATAAGTGGCGTGGTGGTGTCTGAAATTGAGGAGATAAGATATCCTGCCTGCGTCATGTGTACGATACACCCAGTTAGTGGTACGTCAACATGTTTCACTCGGTACGATACTCTGTCGGGATAATGTTGATCTAGGACACGGATTTGGGGAGGTGATAAGGGGGAACGCTCAAGGACAGGTTGATGATGTTGCAAGGGATACACGACCACTGAGATGTGTCGCAAGGTACACATGGCATGAGGGATGTCACAATGTGTATATGTCACTCACGCCCCCCCCCACCCATCTTCACCTTCTCCCCATCTTCACCTTCCCCCACCATCTTCACCTTCCCCCACCATCTTCACCCCCCCATCTTCACCTTCCCCCATCTTCACCTTCCCCACCATCTTCACCTTCCCCCACCATCACGTTCCCTTCGCTATCCTCACGTTCCCCATCAGCCTCAATAAATGTGAATATTTGCCACAGAAGCACGAGCAGCCTTGAAAATTATTGTTCTTTAACTGTGATTCATGAGATAATGTGCAAGTTGCAGTGTTATGTAAGGAAAGCAGTTCACGTTCCAATCTACAATATACAGTAAATTTTATTATTTTAAAAGTATTTACAGATAATTTCATTCCTCAGCCTTAGTGTTTAATTGTTTTATAACAGACCAATACCTGTGATACCTGTTAATTATATCTTTATCATTGATTTGTGTTAGTAAATATTAGTTATTGTAATCGCCCTGAGATAAACATCCATACGCAGATAAGATACTTGAATATCACACTCAAGTCAAATAAGGGAAATTCCCCGTACACTTTCTAGCAATGTCACGATGACGTCAACAGAGAGGTAAAAAGAATCAAATAAATAATTATAGGCTCGTTCTTAAATCCTTGAAGAGTGAGTAACGCTAAAATACAAGTTGCCAGGTAGGAATTTAATGTCTTTCCGTGATGCTGTGAGGTGGCGGACGGACGGACGGACACTCACAGCTCCCGATAACAATTTGTGATTGTAAAATATAAAAGTAGGATACACTAATATATGCGATACTTTGAAGCGTAAAATTTGATGATATCTTGATAATTTCTGTGGGGTGATTTTTTTTTAGTAAATAGTGAATGCATTGTTGTACCCGTATTATCTGTTCGTTCCTTTTAACATTTGCCACTGCTAGACTGTCTCACCTGTCAACTGACCTTAAATGTCTTCAATTTACAGATGCAGTGTGGAATAATGTGGTGAACTTATATCAATCTTTGAATATACTGTACTCGCGTTAACAAACCTTCGGCCATTATTAGAAATATAGATTACCATAACTAAATGATACTGACTGATTCATAAATTATTGGGGGAATTCAGCATTTCATTCGTCTGCCATTTGTTATAGTAAGCATCCAAACATGAACAATCTGAATACCATGGTAATAGTAATATTTTTTTTATTGGCCAGAACATTATAATTAATATATCCATACAAAGTTGTAATAATAGCAAAAATACTATTGAATGTTGGACTAACACTCCACATTGGGCGTATCATTATAGGAAATATGCAGCTTTTTTAACCTCGGGCGTGTCTGTGAGGCTTATCATGAGATGCAGTATATTAAGTTTGCTCTAATATGCGGGTGGTCAAAACATGAAGTCATATATGGTAGTCGCACTCGCAGACAGCCAGTGACCCACATCTCCTAGGTCAGACCGAATACCCAAACCTGTTGACCTACCATTGTTGTTGTAAGTCCCACTACAGTACCCGATATCACAAAGAGATAAATTGATATGTAAATAGATCTCAAAGTGTCGTTAAATGAGAAATACGCAAAATTCAGATGAAACAAATGCCAATCGTAACTGTGAAAGCGTAACTTGAAGCGTTAAGCGACGATGTATAAAAAACGCCCTTACTGCAGCTTTGGTAAAAAATTTCCTTGTATCGTTATAGCACGTGAGAGCTGAATGAACAAGGTGTTAGAGGGAGACTGAATATAATTTGACAGAACCTGATAAAATTATGAGGTCAAATAAAACACACAACCTCCTCTACTCCGAAAGACTGGAATAATGTACCAAACTATATTAAATCCAGTGATAACTTAAATATTTCAAAATTAGAATTACGTGCTAACAGTTAAACCATGAGACGAAAGTGATTTAGTTATCTTTTGATGTTGTACCAGTCATTGTTCTACCGTAAGTGTGATGTAATGATTTGACACAAATAAATTTATCCTCATATTTATCTACTATAGAAAATTAAAAACAAAAATCAGATTTTTTTTCTAGTGTGCGTCATTGGTGCATCCGGAGTCATGTTGCTTTTGAAGAATTTAGTTAAGGCTATGGCGTCATGGCCCCCTCACACCTACGGCCGGACACAGCACATTTTTCTTAATTATGTTGTACTTGACATTACTTAGTACTGACAATTTCATAGTACATGTCATAATTACTGCAATTTCTATATTTGCGAAGTTGTAATGCCTTTAAAATTGCGTTTGTCTAAATCATACTGTTTTAGTGACACTGAAAATTATATTTTTCCAGCAGATAAATATTATACAGTACACTTCTATTGTTTTCAAATTTTTAAAATTGTTTAAAGTTCAAATTCCGCAGCAAAACCCAAGTTATGGTGTAGGCATAACTGCGCGGCAAATAGTGTAGCAGGGCGGGGCGGGGCACTGACGTCACGAAGGTAGCGTAGCCCCGGGTTGTATAGACTGGTTCCCTGTTGTACTATAGACAACAGGTACTAGTAACTAGTAAGGGTTGACTGGCTGGTAAAATTATAAATAAAAAAAAAGCGTGTTTTAACCTTAATGCCGTATTAGTAGTCTCAAGAATATGAATGGTCAGTTAGTATATATATTTTACATTTTGTAATTTCAACATAGAAAACTTAAGATCAAATATACACTAAAA